TTACCTTTGTAGCAATAAATACATTATATCCGAAGTTTTCCCGGACATTTCCAAAGACAGGTTGAGAGTTTTGCAGACCTAAAACAATAGCTTAATGCGGACAACGCTGACATACGCACAGTTTTCTTGGAGTTGAGGCCAGGCTTGGAGCTACCAGCGAGTAGCGGGGCCCTCACTCCGTTGGAAGCCGGGGCAAGGTTGCGAAAGAGGGGGGAACGCAAAATTTTCTTGGATTTGAGGCCAGGCTTGGAGCTACCAGCGGGTAGCGGGGCCCTCACTCCGCTGCAAGCCGGGGCAAGGTTGCGAAAGAGGGGGGCACCATCCATGAAGGGCACACGAAACCACTGCGCACGGTTTGCACCTTTAGTACAGACTATCAAATCAGCTAGGCGGCGAACTACCCATGATTCATAACCGTGAATTGCATATCAAATAAAACCCGGAGAATTGAGACAGTTTAATCTAAGGGAGCAGGAAATTCCAATAAAACAAAAGTGCGCTCTGAAATAGGAAGTTCATGGGATAGCCAGTAAATCGCTGGTCGCTTTTGGGGCAGTGGGATCATACAGGAGGTATACGGACCCACTAGTTACACCACGTAGTTTGGGTAGACAGGAAGTAGTGGCACTTGATGTCCACAAGGATTTGGTGATAGTACGCGCCGGTTCTGAAATGAGCAGATATAGAATCGGGTATTATCGGAAGCACACGCCACACACACGGTACTCACAATCTAACAGGTTGAGTGAAACAAGCTAGGAGACCAAACGGAGGCAACAACGTTCATGCATTGAAGCCACAGTGGCGGGCACACGCCAAGTTGCTAAAGTAGCTCAAGATCGTTTACTGGAGCGTACAAGCGGACTACTGCTTTCAGTCTTGGGCTCGTGGTGACTCACCCTGAATACCTATACAAGAAGAGAAACGTGTATACCGATTAGATCATACGATAAATGCGTGTTAACAGGTAGAGTAAATTTCAGTTGCGTTACAAACACGACCAGCCAATTAGCGCTACGGTGATAACTGTACGTACGACTAAAGGAGATGTGGAACCAAACGATAACTCTCTCAACTACACGCCGCCAGACTTGCTGATTCTCCGTGTACCTGCGATCTCGTGTGATTATTCGATGTGCTATGTTTCTAGGAAAAGAAAATTCACGACTGCTCTATAAGTATCTTTAGTAAGATCTTGGCAAAACATAATCTCGGGCGTAAAACAGAGCCAAAAGTCCAGTCCGTAAATGGAAGGCCTCACAATGACCGAACGAAAAAGTTAATCGCATGTGTGTCACGGATGGTAGAGATAAAGCCTAATGTGGGGTTGAGTGGTGCCAGCTCGTTGGTGGATTTGGTGGGTGATGGGCCTTAGTTGAATTTGCGGGACGAGCTCAAGTTACAGGGTGGTTCGCATGGTGTTGCGCATGACACCGAAAATTGGGGCTCAACGGCCAGCGCTGCATGCTCTTGACAGTAATGCGATACGTCTGTAAACACCGGGTTGGATCGTGTGCCATTGTCCTGAATAAGATGCACACCGGTCCCGTGACGGTTAATGGGCATAAAATGCTGTGGAACAGACGTCACTTGATTGGTTCCTTCGACTGTGGTGTGCACCGCGGACTGGCGAAATTTCACCTGTTTGGTCTGTTAAGTACCTTTATTCCAGTTATCTCTTTCTGCTTGGTTCACTTTGCTCCCAAAGTATATTGCTATTGAGCCTTTCTCCTCGTTGTTGGCAGGACGACCCATATTTTTATTATTTATATTCGCTTGCCACTTCGCTTTTCTATGGCGCTTGAATGGTTCATGTAGAGCTGTTTCTATGCTTGGTTGAGTTTCCATTTTTCACCCTGACCAAGCGATTCACCCCCTGCTTTGGCGGTTTCCAATGGCCATTCTTTTATTTAGTCTTGGCCTATTAGTAACCTCTATTGGATTCGCTTACAACACTTAGATGCTTTTTGTGTGGTTCTTTGCGGTGGTACTTTTGCTGCTCAACGCTCAGAATTTACAGAGTGGTCGTTTGGAGGAGACTCAGCGAATGCCTTTGTTATGCATGGTGAGAAGGGACCAGAAAACATTATGAGGATAGATGCCAAAAAGGATTTGGGCATCTGGGTCTCCTCAAAATTATCTTTCTCACTGCATCATGAGAAATCGGCCCAAAAGCCATTCGCCATTTTACGGATGATCCGAAGCACCTTCTCCCGTATTACTCGCATGGACTTCCAAACACTCTATGGAGGCAACGTCCGAAACTATCCTGGAATACGCCAACCAAGTTGTCTACTCAGGACGCACGAAGGACGTCACCCTCATTGAGTGTGTCCAGCGAGCCGCCACGAGAATGATTGCCGGCCTCGAATCCATGGGCTACGAAACGCGTCTCGCGATGATTGATCTCTTTCCCCTGGAATAATGTCGCCTCCGAGGAGACCTAATTCTTACTTATGCCCTGTTTGAACAAAGCTTGGCAAACAGATTTTTTCACCGTCGACCCAGCAAACTCCCGGCGGGTACATAGTTTGAAAATTTTCAACTTCAGAGCACACACTCATTAAACGAAATATTTACTCATCTCGGGTAGTAGGTGCGTGGAATGACCTTCCTCCGAAGGTCGTTCACGCTCCTCCTAGAACCCAGTTTAAAGCACTATTAGACATTTATTTATGCGAATCCACGCACTGGCAAGCATACTGCCCCGCGCTGAGAACATAAAGCGCAGTGCTGCACCCTTTTTTTCACTTGTGCCTTTCAGGCCACTGACCGACAAGAACAAGAGCGACCCGGGACACTTGGGCAAAAGCCTCGATCCTGCGTATCAATCCGTGAATCCGTGAATCCGTGACTGCTCTATTTATTCTCTTGTATCTTTCAAGTGGACTCTAGACAATGAACGACGAGAACAAACGTTACATGGAAAGCCTCAGCAGGATCCTCAGTCCGGTTACATATACGACGAAGGACTTCTGGCGCTCACCAGAATCAGCCATCGAAGCCTAATCTTCTTATGCCTTTTGGGCCTCACGGGCCAGGTGTCCAGTAGTGACGTTACGATGTCGAACTGAGCCCACAAGGGCCCTACGACCAATCACCTATGAGCAAGTTCACTGGCCGCTGCAGCGCAAGTCGTTTACCAGCCCTGACAACTTCCAGTTGTTGTTTTTATCGGACGCCGTTCTTCATCTCAGTTTTTTCCTAGTTTTTTTTTTTAAAAAAAACACTTTGCCTCAGTATGAGCGCTCAAATAGGATAGTCGTGCTGATCCTGCTCACATTCTTTATTTGGCCGACATGTTTAAAACTGGCCGGCGCAACGAGAGTCACGCTTGTCACTGTATGGAGCGATGTCGGCTTATCGAAGCCATATACTAGATAATGATGCATGGTCCTGTTACTAGGGTCACCCCTGATACCTGGTGATCCCGCCCATAGGTCTCCCGGTTCACCTCCCTCAACCTCCAAACCCAGCAAGCAAGTGTTGGCTAGTCAAATTCACTTTCTCCAAAGAAGCGCTCTCGCTTCCCGTCATTCATTTGTCAACAGGTTTTGACAATCGGCTAAAGATTGCCTCAAATTTCTGACTGCACAGCCTCGTTATTGCTTCTGCTCTCACGAATCCAGTGCATGGGCAATTCGTCTCCAAATTTCTCTGAGCTAGAAATACCTCGGAGAATATGGCCTGAATATGTTGACCAGATAACCCGTGGTTGTAACCCCAACCTGTTTTTCAATTGCTCCAGTCCAAAATTTGGTAGACTGTTGGTATATCGTGTCCCCGAGCTGAATGTCAGATTACCCGAAAACAGTTTTTCACGGTTATTAGTAAATAATTAACTTACCGTCAGATAACCAGGTTAGAAAGCACTAGGTAATGACGCCGTTCTATTCCCTCTATTACTAAAACATCACTGATAACACTAACGATAACCTTCAGCGAGAGTTCTTTTAGTGTACCTAGAAGTTTGAAAATGCAACAAATTTCCCGACAAACTGAAAATAATCTTAAATGGTTCAACCTGGAAGAAGGAACCGGAAAAAATTACGTCTGGTGGGGTCCCCACGAACAGCAACCGTTAAACAAAAGACCGACGGCGATCCGATTAATTCCCATGTGGGTCACATTGAGGTCATTTGCACGAGCAGACTGCTGACGCGCTGGCATCATATCTATATCTTACAACGTACGCATTGTGTTCGCGGAGTAAACAAATGCGAACTGAATCGGATGCTGAATGATCTTAAAAATGGGGTGGGTAATCAATGAAAGTCAATCCGGCCTACTGAAGTTCACAAGAAAGCGGTTCAGCCACTATGGACTGTGTCATGAGNGTTTCGTCTGATGAGACGGGTAAGCAGAGTACTGAGAACTAGTTTTGTGCTGAGTTTTGAGACTCAAAGAGCACAGTTTCGGAGATAAAACGGGCGATACAACACGCTCAGGTCCATTAAAAAGGCTCTTGGGTTCTGGCGAGAGTACACTCCATTTGTTTTCACAGGGATATAGGCTTCGCAAAGGTCATGTCTCCCCGGTCAAACCTAACGCCTGAGGATCTTGAGGAACAGTTTGATGCAGTAGTACTAAGGAAGCTAACGGATTGACGCAGTGGTGCCCAGTCAACCAGGTAACTGACTTTGAGGAATTTGGATATCGCGGATACAGAGGTAACCCGTAGATACATACAAGATTTCACACCTCGATCGTCACGACAGCGGCAACATGTGGTACATCAATTGTTTCAAGCGAACACTGCTCACACCACGCAATTCGGAAGCCACCAATTGTAGACTACGTTAAACCATGTGACAGTCATCCACCGGCAGAAAGTTCTGATACAATATTGTCGTTCATTCTGGGGTACACCTCCGGGCTATTTGTTTTCCTTCGGGAAAGCGCCAGTTGATACAAGGCCACACAATTTATCACCTGCAAAGCATCTGTGTAGTTAAACAGTATCGAATTAAGTTGACTGAAAAGCTCCCATCATCACCGCCATGGACAGCATGAAATCGGCCTTCAACACTGATGCGTCGCTTCCGTACAACCTTGATTTATTTAAATGTCTTATTGTGAAGAAGAGTAAAGGTGAACATGCATTCATAGACCTCCGAGGCCGTGTAGGGTTCACATTCACCGCCCAAAGTTCTGCATCAACTGTGGGTTCAAGATGTGTGGTACCTGGTGGCTACGTAGCTTTTTAAAGTACTCGGCCCACCATTCGAGGCGCTTTTTATTCAAGCTGATCACTCCATTCTGATCCTTGATGGTTTTGTCCAACATCTGGATTTGCCAGTCTTCCAGTTTTCAGGTAATTTTTCCGCACCTTAAGTGGTCCTGGAAAACAAATGGAGAAGTGACTCCGGATGAGTTTGTGGTTAGTTATTAATCCGTGCTATCGGCAACTGATGGCAATGTGGTCGATTTGCATTCGGGGCCGGCACTCCATTGGAGGACACCATGTGGCCAGACGACTCCGGCTATTTTGTAAGTTAGTATTACATAAAAACAGCCTGCGTTCAGCACGCAACTGAAGGAACAGATCACCACTGTCCGTACGTACCGAGTCCAATCCATGTCGACCACCATCTTTTAGCTCGCCGCAACACGGCATTCAGGACGTCCTCAAACTTGTCTTTGATGGTGTCAGCGCTGCAGTCAGTCAGGGCGCAATCAGACACGATAGACAGACATTGATCAACTTCCCCCGCTTGAGGCTCCTTCACAGACATTGCCAGACGAACCGCGCGGAGGCGAATATCAACGGGTATCTAGTCAAGCAAGGATCCTTCTTCCCGTTGAGTTAGGGCGATATCAACTCATGCAAATCCTACCACAGCAGCCTCTGGATCGCAAGTTTCGCAGCCGGAAGCGATGGGGCAGTTAACTTAACCACTTTGCTTGCATCTCGAATTCTTGTTTCTGATAAACAGCACGAATCAATGCCAGTGTGAGAGCAAGAGCAGCAGAGTGCAGACATTAAAGTTGGCCAGACAGACTAGGAGTAAGGGCTTAAAGATAGATTTGGGGATGCCTAAGGATGTCGGCTACGGATGACGGGCACATGTTGCTTGCAAAAACGTTGCAGGACAAACGGAATCATCAGTCCCAACTGCTGAGCCTACAAGGATAGATTATTAGTGGGATTGGGAGATGAGGAAACGGCATGTGAAAGAGAAAAAAGGGAGGCGTCAGCAGTAGAATGTCTTCGTTTACCGGACATGCTGTATACAGCGAGTAAGGCGACCTAGTTGATGGTACCACGCGATGGCCGATTTGGCGTGTGCAGTTCATGGTTGTAGATAGGCTGGGATACTGCCAGGGCGCCCACACCTAAACAGGAGGACGATTAGGGTCCTAAAGCCTTTGGTTCAAAAGCCTGACTTCAGGGCAGCGTTGTTTGGCTGGAAGAGCAGGTACATTACTTTTTTACGGGATATGTCACACAGTTCCAACTCCCAACCCGGAGGACCGTCGACCAACCTGGTATGAGATGCTCTGCGAGTGTCGCGTGGACACCCCTCAGTGTAGCTCAATGGTTCGTCGGGGTACACGAACCATCATACTACGGTAGGGTCCAGTCTCTTCGTGACTGGAGAGGCTTCTAGAACTTGACGGTACGATGGTTGGGATGGCGGTCAGAGGATGATGAAAAAAGCACGTTGACAGCTTTTATAACCACCTGGCCGACATCTTTGGCATACCCTATTGGGCACTGGATCCCGTCACAATCAGCAACTCTGATCGACGTCAGGAAAGTCACAACAGCAACAAACATCCAAATCCATCAAACGGCGAGTAATGAAGAATGAAGGTCTCAGGAAATCCGGTTGGATCACAAAGTCTAGGGGAATGAAGAATGTTCTCGTTAGGTGGGAAATGGCAGCCTTCCACAGCTTAATTATTCACCTGGTCCGAGATGGACGGATGCTAGTAAAACGACCGGTGAAAGGAATGAGGCCTCACAAAAACATCCTCTATGAAGATTGACAGAACACCGAAAAATAACTCGGCTGATCTTCGTTGCCTCAACCTCCGGAAGAATAAGATGAACCCGAATGGAAATTCGACGGTCCGCTATCGGCAAGAAAACGTTCAGCGTGAAATTTCATCGCTTCAGTGCAAAAAGTGCCTGTTTCACGCCTCTTGAACCTTCCAATCTTCAAAGGTGGTGAATTCCTTGTGGTCTACTTGGCGGCTTTGTACAAAAATATCTGGAACGAAATCAGAACATAGAGTGAATGGGATGTCGTGGTGGTTATCTGTTTATTCAAAAGGATACAAGATCATTGTATGACAACCACGGGAACACCAGACTAGCTGCCTCCCTGGCATTATCATACGAACGTTGACCCATCGTCGGGAGAGTCAGACTAGCGGGACTCAAGCTGGATTTCGTTCAAACCGAAGTTGCCTCCATTACATCTTTACTCTTGAACTATCCCACTCCTTCCGACGACCATCAATGATAGTCGTTTTCGTATTCGCAGCTGCTTTTGACCTCATTCGTCGTCAGATACCGTGGTGTGCTACTTGAGTCTTCCTTAGCGGCTTCTAACACCTTCGGGTATCGAAATACTCTCGAGGCGTTCGCCCACAGACAATGAGTTCGGCGAACATATGGCTCCCCGTGGATCAGACTCTTTTTAATTATATAATTAATTCTACTGCACAGTTCGGTATGCGCTTCGCACCTGTAAAGTGTAAATTGCTACCACAAGATTGGGTGGTATCAAAGCAAAATCCCACTCTTGCAGGTGAACCGATCGGTAAGTTTTTATTCATGAGACTTCCCGGATTGGAGAAGGTAGGGAAGCTGTTGTCAACCTTCGAAATTTGTGGCACGAGAAGTCGAAATCTTTCGGTGCCTAGCTGCTATGCCACCCAGAGGAAGTACGACGGATGGGTTAGCCAAGCTTAGGCAGGAGAAGTCGAGATGCAGAGGTCGGTTACGAGTCGCGGACGTTTTGGTCAGTAAGTTCGCGTTCTAACCAATGAGCAATCTCGCACACGTGGCAACATGACCACCACGGATATACTGTGCAGTGCTGCGGTCCGATCTATCCTATTCTGCGGATTGGAGACGTGACCGCTGCGTCGGAAGCTTTCCATGTGCAGACTTCGGTGCCTCCGAATCACTACGTGGTTCTGTTGGGAACATTGGATCAGTAATGCTGAATTACGGCAAAAGGTTTTCGGGAAAGTTCATTCTTTCTCAATACATCGTTTGGTTGTACTCCGCAAGTCACGCCGGTCTTCTATTTCACATATGAAACATTCGTTTGTTTAGCAGAGTCCTTTGCGTCCAACATCGTATCGGATGGAGCAGTCATTCCACAACGCCAACGAGTCATGAAAGTCCTAACCAGTCAACTCAGTCGCTTTTCCGTATCGGGCAAGCATTTGACGTCAACGAATCCTGACCCTCATTCCTTTATCCTCATCCTACTCTGTGAAACGATATGTAGCAGTTGAACTCACTGCAACTCTGCACGGTTTGTGAGCTGGAAAACTGAGGAGACCCGTGCGCCTCCACAACCATTGTCTTTATATGGAGTAAAATTTCGTAAGCGTTAGCTTTGATCATCATCATTACCAACAGTTGTGAAAACCACGTACTTGCCGTACAGCTGCTATAGCTGCCACATTTCCTTTTGCCGATGATATTGGGAGGTAGGATAGATAGCTGCGCATTGGAGGCGGTAAGTGATGTAACTGATGCGTAAATACAGGGTTATTAGTGGGCTTTTCACTGGGAACAACGGAGGGAGGAGGTATGCGTTGAAGGTGGCAGCTTGGATGCATGAGCACCATTGAGGGCCAGACTCGGCTGTCTGACAATTCCTGTAGCCATTGATGTGTCCCATCTCTGGATCACCATCCATGGAGACGGCAATGACCGGTGCATCTGAGTATGCTGGTATTGCTTTTCATACTTCGTTGCCAAGTCACTGTTTGATCTGCCTTGGCTCGTTTCCACTCTTCACGTAGTTGTCCGAGAAGAATCCTTCGAGGAAGTCGGTTGAGTAGCACGGAGGACGTGGTCAAGCCAACGCAATTTATGGAGTGTGACGAGTTTATAAATTGTGACCGAGTTATTTCTTCCGAAAACTATCCGACGTACTTCAGCATTATTGGTCCGGTGTTCCCACGAGACTCGGACAATGCTCCGAAGACACCGATAGTCAAACACCTGAAATCTCTTAACGTCGTCGGTGCGCAGTAGCCAGGTTTGTGACCCTTTTGCCAATATCCGGTGCACGGCAGCATTGTAAACTCGACCCTTAACATGTAGGCTGATGTCATCCCTACGCCACAGGTGGTGCAGGTTCACGAAGGATTCTCCGGCCTTTCCAATCCCGATCAAAATATCCTCCTTTTCCAGACCACCGGTACTGATATAGCTGCCCAGGTAGACAAACTCGTCTAATACCTCAATAGGGGTGTCCGCAAGCAAGAGGTTAGGGTTCGAGCCCACCCAGCCTTTCAGTAACACCTTGCAGGCGTGAGGAGTATCCCAAACTGATAGGCAAAATTATCATCATCGTCATTATAAGCTGTGAGAACCTTGTACTTGTCGTACAATGGTGGTAGCTACCACAGTTTCGTTCACCGGTGATTTGGGGAGATGGGGTAGATAGCTGCAAATTGGATGCGGGAGCCCATAAATTGATGCGTAGATACGGCGCTGTCAGTGGACTGGAGATTGGGAAGGGAGCTATACATTGAAGGCAATAGCTCGATGCACGAGCGCCATTAAGAGAGCGATTGGGCCATGTCTGACAGTGTCTTCAACCATTGATGTGATCTGTGTCGGGGTCCCCATCCAGGAAGGCGGCAATGAGCAGCACAACTGATTTTGCTGGTAATGGTTTTTATACTTCGCTGCCAAGTCATTGTTCGACCGCTTCTGGTTCGTTCTACTCTTCACTTGGTTGCGCGAAAGGAACCCTTCGAGGAATTCGGTCGGCTGGCATACGCAGCACGTGGTCAAGCCAGCGCACCCTATGCAATGTGATCAATTCATCTATCGAGGGTGATTTATTTCTTCCGAATACCGTTCGACACAATTCAGAATTGCGGATCTGGTGTTCCCACCAGATTCGGACAATGCTCCGAAGACATCGATGACTGCCGGCGCGTGGCATCCAGGTTTCTGATCCGTATAGTAGTATGGAGCACACCGCAGCGTTGTGAAATCGACCCGAGAGAAAATCATTTGGATTTTTGAATTTTATCCACATTACAATGGCGTCAGACCCAAGGGCGATGTTGTCTGCTTACTCGATATTTGTGAGCGAATGCCCTGGTTGTATTTTAGCACCACAAGCACTAAAGTCTGGAAGTGAGTGCTTCATACTCATATCATTGACAAAGTTGAGAAGGAATGGTGAAAAGGGACAGCCTTGCGTGACACCACTTGATTTAGTCAACTCAGGCGAAACCTTCCCGTAGACCGTCCGCGGGAGTAGGCGTGCAGCCGCTTAAGGAGCACCACATACCGGCCTAGTCTCTGGTGGTCGACTGGGTCTAAATAATCATTGAGGTGGGGGAAAGTGACCATCTTTTGACGTCTGGAAGTGTGGTGTCGTTTGAGAAGCTGTTTGAGTAAGGATCTGACGGACCTGTCTCTACCAGGGAAAGCACAAGTCTCCTCTTTCTGTTAGCGTAATGGTATATACTGCTTAATTTTTTGGATCCGTGTCTAGAGTTGATCTTCACGATGAATTTTCTGTATTTTACAGCGAAAGGAATTCAGGGGACAGAGTAGCAGTTATATGGGGTAATACTTATTCGATGATTTTTTATGAGAGCGTTAATCTCGGTGGCTTGGAAGGCGTTTGCATCGCACTTTTGCTCTAAGCGCAACCCGTTATTTAATGATTACCGCGACTTAGGGTGCCAGCGCAACTCACAAATCGGTCAGCTGTTCACTATAGATTTTAACCGATCTATGCTCACGGAATACAATTCAACCGACAGAAATTTTCGGGTTAGGCTTATCTGTTCGATTTCATGGACCTACGGGTTTTCGCGACCAACCATTCAACCGTATTCCGTTTTCGTCAGCTTTTTTTCCTCTGCGTTTCAGATCGTCGTGAATGAATCTTTTAAATCACTCATGTGTCACTGTTAGCACTTTATCGTGTCACATACGCTACCAATTGAATGTTTAATGCACGCAATTTCACTGGATGCTCGAGACTCTTCAAATAGTTTTGAAAACCATTTGGAACAATGTGAGGAAATTCTATTGAACAATGAACCGTCGGAGCGCGTCCTGGAAACGGTAACCTACCACACCAAAGCAATTGTGTCTTTGGTTACTCAGGAGTTGCCCCCTCCTTGTGAGTCCTTATTTTATCGTGTGTTCTGACTATTTATGACCTACACTTTCGAGTTGCCGCTTTTGGATATGTAAATATGGTCGGTGCAGTGCTTTGAACATAGTTTCGATTGTTCTGTTTAAGGATTTTTCCTTTTTATTTTACTTTCGAAGCTATCGCACCTGGCCTTGGTGCTACCGAACTGCATCACAAACGTGTTGGTCAATATCTGTCAGCTATTGTCGAGAATCGTCTATTTGATAAACTCCTGATCTGGGTCGAAGGAAAGCCATGCCCTGGAACCGAAAAAGCAGTCCGTATACGAGACATACAGCGCACGCATTTGTTAACTCTTTTTGAGGATTTGATGACACAGTCGCTTCAACATGTCCTCTACGAGTCCTCTATACTTCGTCCACTGCTGCAGTTCATCTTCAAGTTGTCCTCGCAATTAAAACCGGCTTACGAACAATCGTACGGTCGAACTTTGTACGAGCTCTGTGTCCTACTGTGTAGGGATTCCTCTCTCCTTACTGTTTGTCGAAAGGTGAGCAGTGAAACCACATAGGAATAGAGGTCTATCTATATTTTCCTTTGCAAATTTCGTCTTCAGTCTGTCTTGTTATTTACTTCGGAACGTTTCATATTTCCTGGTTTATCTACAGCTTTCCGATGAACTGTTCGAGCAACCACACCTCGTGTTCACCCTGCTTGTTCCTCTTATCCATCGCGCTGACTCAGTGGGGGATCACGCAAAGGATGCATTTTTGCTTGCGCTTTCACTGTCGAAAATCGATGAATCACTAAGCAGTTACTTGGCCTTTGAATCCGACTTTTGCCCTGTAAGTTTCAGAGAGTTAAGTTTTGTATGTTGTCGGTTTCACATGTTACGCTTGACTCAGCGTATTCCGTTACTGAACCTCAGGAACTAAGACCATTTGTATCCGTATTCTCTGCAAGCCTCAAAAAGCACCCCAAATGAGTGGAAACTCTAGAGCAATGCTCTGTTACTTCGAGAAACAGACTTTTATTTCGCTGAACTCTCAATGATTCGAAAATTTCCACTTCTTCGTTTAGTGTATATTTATTAACCCTGACTCTTCGTCCATATGGGACTATTGACGAGTGAAACTTTGTAGGGGCAATTATTACTGCAGTTAAACACTAAAAACGTGCTCCCAGTATATAACGTTCCAGCTTCGAAAATATCTTCAGATCTATGCCAAATTGTGCTGGTGAGTTCAGCTTGAACGGGTATGTGTTTGGAAAACCTTTTAGTTTGTCTGCTCGTCCTGACTCAATTGCAATCGAACCCACTCCAGTCATTTGTTACTGGGGCTACGACTGACACAGGCTGCGAACGATCATTCCTTAGGTTAATACTGATTTGTCATTTTGGGTTTTAATCCGTGGTCGGAAAAATCTGATGCTACTCGGAGACTCTTGGTTCTGTTAGTTCATCACATTGTTTTGATTGCATACAATCCGTGTAGAGTGCGGTTCCGTGTCCATTGCGACAGATGAGTTTGCGATTAGGATCCATCGCGTATCCTCGCTTTTTTCCCGCTCTGTCGGTTGACTGGGATACTAAAGTGTTTTGGGTAATTTTGTTTAGCTGTCGGACATGTTCCATGACCTTTAATTCCTTTTTGAACAGAGATCAGGGCACATGTCCATAAACCCCGGTACTTCAGACGAGCTTGACCACAGTTGTGTCTATCTGGGACACAGAGTTACTAAACCTGGCTTTCGAGGCAATCTCTGTGAACTGTAATGTTTTCAGTCCGAAATTTTGTTCTGTATAAGTTGTTTTCATATCGTACGAACGTACTCAAGGATTATTATCTGTTGACCATTGGTTCACCATAACTTTGGTTCTTACTCTTACTCTCCTTTGTCACTTTCCTTCTAGGTTTTGGCTGCTGGTTTGGGCGCTCTCTATTCCAGTCTTCCAAAGAAGCTGATACCTCGGCACTCCTTTAGATCCCATGATGCAGAATCTCCCGGTGGACCAGTTGTCTTGTCGACTTCAGCTTTCCTTAACCCCCACACATCTACACCGTGTATTGTCGAACTTCCCGTCGGTGGGGCCGCCTGGCATCAGTTATCCGATATCGAATGCAACCAATCAACTGACTTACGTCGATTTCTTCACACTTTAGATTTTTGTAACTTGGTTATGAAAGTGAGTTGGGTCCACTCTTGTCATCCTGGTTATTTCGAGTTTTCGGTGGCAGAAAATCGTATTCTCACCATGCATCTCGTTCCAAATGATCGGATCCATAGTATTTCTGATTGGTTTAACAACACAAACATCTTTTCTCTCCTTCATTTCTACCTCGAAGGCTTCAGAACTACAAAACACCATGCAAAAGAAACATCTCAGGTGAGATGTGAACTGGCGTCTCGCTGGTTGACTGGAGCCAGATGTTCCTCTTCCTCCTATCGTGGGCATCATTCGACAGACATGTCACGCAAAATTCTATATCATGGTTGCTTGCATCTCAACCAGAAATGTTGCAAACCATCGTTCTCAATACTTAGCGATCCACTCCGTATCTGCTTATCGTCTGTGAAGCCAAATGGCACGTGGTGCATAACTGAATTCGAATGACCACATGCCATCACTTTTTGGGAGAGGTGCTGGAGACTTCGTGACAGATTGTGCTCACACTTTGGCTACATCACATGTGGAAACCTGTCGCTTGCTGGCCTTAGCATTACGCTAGCACCACTCACGGTCTACTTCATTGCTCATGCTCATGCGTGATTATGATCCGCAAAACGAGCGGCTTCCATTTATTGATCCGCACCATCGGTAACTGTTGGCGATGTAATTAGTTTGGGTTCTTAGCTAGCCCGCTGTTGAAAGACACCATGTGGCCAAACGGCTTCGGTTATTTCGGTATTTAGTACTGCATAGAAATAAACTGCGGTCAGCACATGGCGGAAGCAATCGTTCGCCATTGTCGGCACGTACCGAGTCCAGTCCATGTCGACCGCTTGATTGAGTCTCAGATACACTAAGCCAACCCACTTATGCATCCAGATCTGCAGCAAGCATAACGATATCTGAGCACTCAAGAGGTTATAAAACGCTCCTTTGATGGTATCAGGGCTACAGTTGGTTGTTGCGTATGCATACACGACGAACAGACAGCGATCCAACTCTCGCTTGTACGAATCCTTCACGGACGAACCTTAGCCAGACGAACCGCACAGAGGCGACTATCAACGGCAAGGATCCTTCCACCCGGTGACTTAGGACGATACTGACCCTTGCACGTCATACAGCAGCTTCCTTTGAATTACCAGAGGTGTGCAGCCGGAAGCGAGCGCAGAGTAATGAGGCGGTTAGCTCAACCAATGTATTTGTGTTTTGAATTCTTGTTTCTGATACACAGCACACATCAATGTCAAGCGAGTCATAATTGCCGAAAGATCGGATTAAAATCACCAATCCGCCAATCTTCTTTCCGCGTTGTACCAATTAAGAGCAAACGTAAGTTGCTAATCGAGTCACAGTAGAACACAATGTGTTATCTACTAATGCTGTATAATGTAGTTAACTTTCTGCCGTAAAAACTAGGTCATTAAGGAGTATATGCGGGGATGAATCAGTCACATTCCAAAGTTTTTGTCGATCTTGCCGACTGTGATCTACTTCAGTCGTAGAGGTCATAGAGGTGACGAAAACATTCCACAGCATGCGTGAGTTTTGTTTAAGCCCCATTCCCTTTTCCGATATGTTTTGGTGAAAAAAGCTAAATCAAACGAAAGTTTTGTTGTTGGGAAATTTTTGTCTGGTGAGGTAACATTATAGTTCTGTTAACATATTGTTCCTCAGTTCCTCCAGTAGTCCCATCATATGTGACCGTAGTCCGACCATCTATCCAATCTGTCCTATCATTGTTTGAACTGGAGGATTTGGCGTCGATTTATGCTGCTGCAAAACCACTGATGCGTTCCCGTTGACTACTTCCTAGCAGCTTTTCCGATATTGTGCAACAGTCGTGCATATTGCAACTCACTGATCGCCTTTGAACGACCTTCTAGCACTAACTTCTCCGTGGGCGACAGCAGTGCACTGGACTTTTGGTTTCAGTGCAGTGCCTTGTCTTAATTACCTATGCCCTGGTTTTCTGGACGAATTCGGGGTTATTCACTCAATATTTTTAAGGTGACGCTCATATGCATCAGTTTTAAGCGGATTTATTGGAAATTATGGTCATGTGCCGATGAAGCCGTCAGTAATATACGCGCATGAATAATCTTCTCGAGGATTTAACCTGTAAATCAAGCTAAGTTGCCCCACTTTCGAGAGACACGCGTTCAGGTGCAACATGCCACTCGAAGAACAGACGAGGGCTGATATACTGCCAGATTACTCAAGCCTAGACAGGAGCCGTCGAGATGCCGAAGTTGCCTCTGAACAACGAACCTTGTGTTCGATAAGTTCACATCCTAACCAATAAGCTATCTTGTGCTCAGGTTTCGTTAGTCAGCGCTCATTTAGGTTGCAGATCAGTCCATCATCCAGAAACGAATATGCATTTGAGTCATTTTTAAAGGCCTGAATGGCGCTTCTGTTTGAGAGCCGTTTACTCCCCCTGAGCGGATAAGTTATTCAGTTGTTGTGCTCTCCAGCCTTGTATTCGTATCCGTATCTGTATTTCAGACCATCTCTGATGGCCGTTTCATTCAGCCGCCGGTCGATCTGGCATTGACTTATAACATAGTGCTGACTTCTTTTCCATAGCATGCCTTTGTATTTGTACAGACTGTGCGGTTTTCCATCCAGAGGTAGTTGTTGATCATATCCTGGGGCGAGATGGACCAAGTGGTTAGTGCGCGAATTTACTGACACGAAGGTCCGTGTTTCGAACCTGACCTCTGTCTCTCGACTTCCCCTGTCTAGGCTTGGGCAACCTAGCAGTATCCCAGCCCTCGTGCTTCCTTCGGGTGGCAAGGCAGCTATGCACCTGGTGAAACACTGATAACTATGCTCTGTACTGGTTGGTTTTCTACTATTTACTGGTTGGTTATCTACTATTGTTCTCCATCGTAGATATCTCATCCCAGTGTTCGTGAGCAGTTGTTGCATTTCATCAATTCCGGATTCTTGATTCCCGTTCTGGGCTCCGCTTTGCATCAGGTGAGTAGCAAGAGCTTTCTATTTTTCTGACTTTTGTTGTAAGTAGCGAGTGAAACTGGTTGGTGCTAGATGACATACCATTTTTAGTTTTGCTTTGTTTTTGGGTTCATCGGGTAGGCCTAGTCCTATTTGAGTCCTATTGGGAACTGAGAAGTTTAATTTTACATGGATTAAGGATAAATGGACATAGGGCTGTGCTCTTGCTAGCCACCTCATACGTATGCCATATCGAAAATAAGGTTGCCGGGATTAGTTCCTCCTTGCAGGTTAGACGAACTTCACATTTCGTAGGTGTCTATAGGATGAACACAATCAGCTGTTATTGTACCAACTGTATTCTACTGACGTTTTCAGTGTTTGTGGTGGTTGGAGACAAGCTGTTATTTTCACTAGACCACACGATCATGCAGTGGACCGTTGCTAACGTAGGTGGGCTCTCTAAACTTGAATCTGAAGCCTAGAAGCTAGAACGTAGTCTTCAAATCTAGTGCCGCAAACAAGGTG